AAATCGTTCTTCCAGTCACTTAAGCCAAAAACCATGGTCACATCCTTGATTCCTCACTTTCTCCGACACACCATGTCTAAACCATTAGAGAATATTGTCTAACTTCTGCTTTTAGAGTATGTCCAAACTGACCAGTTCTCACTATTACTACTTTTCCCACTTTCTCTAAGTTCTGTCATCTTTCTGCTGGATTACTCTAGTAAATTCCTGTTAATAGTTCTACCTTCTCCTACCCTTGCTGCAGTTCTGTAGCTGAAATTGCTCTTTTAAAATCTGTTAGGTTATGTAGTCTCTGCTCAGAACTCTCCAGTGACTCCTCATTTCACTCTGAATAAAAGCCACAGTTCTCACGTTGACCTGCAAATGCCTCACGTGATCTGTTCTAAGGTTGCATTTCTGAGCTCTTCTCCAGTCCCCTTTGCTCACGCTGCTCCAGTCTGAGCTTGCACTGGCATTCTGCTCTTACTGTAATGTTCTTCCCCCTGAAATCTTCGTGGCTCTCGCCTTTGTTTTGTTTGACTCCCAAATCATCTTCTCATCACCCTATTTTAAACTAAACCTCCATTCTTCACCACTCCATATCCTTTTTACCCTGTTTTACTTTTCTCCATAGCACTTTTCACCTTGTGTATTGTATTTATGCAATATAATTTACTGTTTATCTTATTTAAGTCTAAATTTCCCCATCTAAATAGAGTGTAAATTACATAAGGATAAGATTTTGGTCTAGGTACCCCACTGCCCCAACTATTTGTGAACAGGCCCTAGCACAGAGTCAGAACACACACAGAGATTATTTTAATTAATATGTCAAACTGTTTTAAAAGTAGATCATAAAATACCAACTAATAGCAAAATCAAATGATCACAGTTTTCATTAGCAGGCAAGAATATTTGTCATTGTTAAGAATTGTTTCTCAATTATATATCCCTTTTAAAATCAGCTAAAGATTTTGATAACTACAAAAAAAATTATTCTGTCTTTATATTTTCAGTTAACTAGGCTTATTTCTTAACTAAAACTTTTTTTTTTCCGTACAGAATGGATGTTCTGGTGTCAGTAGATATGAAAGTGTTGGTCAGCGACTTGCAAATCAACAAAGTTTAAAAAATCGAATTGAATCTGTAAAAACAGGTTTGCTTTTTAGCCCAGATGTTGATGAAAAGTTACCAAAGAAAGGTACATTTACATACTACTGTTAAGAGTTTTACCTAAAAATCCTGCTTTAGTTGCTTTTTTAATGATAAAATATATTAATTAATTTACTGTTCTAGAGATTAGAAGTTCATGTTTGAATAGTGAAAATATTAGAATTGGCAATGTATTTTTATATCAACAATTGGGAAATGCTTATACATGTAAATATGAAAATGTTTGACATTCTTATGTTAAAAATTATTTCTTATAACACAAATACTTTATTAGAATTAAATGCTTAGTGACTTATTTGCCATGTGCTTGGATATTATTTCAAAACAAGGTTAAATATAAAGGATTAAGCACTAAACTGCTTTATTTTAGGTTCACAAAAGATCAGTAAGTCTGAGGAAAACTTACTAACTCCAGAGCGACTAGTTGGAACAAATTACCGGATGTCTTGGACAGGACCTAATAATTCAAGTTTTCAAGAAGTAGATACAAATGAAGCTTCTTCAATGGTGGAAAATCTTGAGGTAGAAAACTCTTTGGAGCCTGATGTTATGGTTGAAAAGTCACCTGCTACTTCTTGTGAACTCATCCCTTCCAATTTAAACAGTAAGCATAATAGCAACATAACAAGTAGCCCTCTTAGTGGGGATGAAAATAACGTGACCAAAGAGACTTTGGTGAAAGTTCAGAAAGCATTTTCTGAATCTGGAAGTAATCTTCATGCATTGATGAATGACAGGCAGTCATCAGTACCTAATGTGGGGAAAGTAAAATTAACTGAACCATCTTATTTAGAAGATAGCCCAGAGGAAAATCTGTTTGAAACTAATGATTTGACTGTAGTAGAATCAAAGGAGAAATATGAACACCACACTGGTAAAGGTGAAAAATGTTTTTCAGAGAGGGACTTTTCACCCCTTAAAACTCAAACATTTGATAGAGAAGCAACTATAAAATGTTATTCAACTCAGATGAAGATGGAACATGAAAAAGACATTCATTCAAATATGCCAAAAGATTATTTAAGCAAGGAAGAATTCCCCAGTGATGAACAAATAAAGAAACAGCAGTCCCCAAAGGTTAAACTGAATGATAAATTAAAGGAGAATGAGAATATGATTGAAGGTAACTTACCAAAGTATGCAGCACATAGCAAGGACAAGACTAGAGCCTCTTTCTCACAGCAGAGTACATGTGTTATAACAAACTTGTCAAAACCTAGGCCTATGAGAATTGCTAAACAGCAGTCATTGGAAACATGTGAGAAAACAGTTTCTGAAAGTTTACAAATGACAGAACATAGAAAGGTTTCTGATCACATACAGTGGTTTAACAAGCTTTCTTTAAATGAACCAAATAGAACAAAAGTCAAGTCACCTCTTAAGTTTCAGCGTACTCCTGTTCGTCAGTCTGTCAGAAGAATTAATTCTTTGTTGGAGTATAGCAGACAGCCTATAGGGCATAAGTTGGCGAGTCTTGGTGATACAGCTTCTCCTCTGGTCAAATCAGTGAGCTGTGACGGTGCTCTTTCCTCTTGTATGGAAAGTACATCAAACGATTCCTCTGTTTCATGTATCGAATCAGGTCCTAAAGAACGGAAGTCCATGTCATGTGAAGAGTCAAATATTGATGCGATTTCAAAGTCAAGCATGGAGTTACCTTCGAAATCTTTCTTAAAGATGAAGAAGCACCCAGATTCAGTGAATGCTTCTCTTGGGTCTACTACAGTTTGTAAACAGAAGATGTTATCTGATGGCCAAGTTAAGCTTCCCTTGGATGATCTGACTAATCATGATATATTAAAACCGGTTGTAAATAACAATATAGGCATTTCTTCTGGGATAAATAACAGGGTCCTTAGGAGACCATCAGAAAGAGAAAGGGCCTGGTACAAAGGTTCTCCAAAACATCCTATCGGAAAAACTCAATTACTACCAACAAGTAAACCTGTAGACTTGTAATTGGTAGATGTTATACTTGTCATTAATGTAAATAAAGTGAGCAGTTGATGGTATGACTTGCAGGATAATCTACCTGTTAGTTTGTAGCTCAGGATGATTATTAAGCAATAGATTTGCTCTGAAACATTTTTATTTCACTGTACAAGCAACTTGGATTTTTATTTGTACAAATTACTTGTTTTTCTTAATGATGGCAATTTTTAAACTTTAATTTTATTGTGATCTCTTAAAGCAGAAGTTAGACTTTACCTTTCTAAAGAAATTGTTGACTGGATTTATAAGAAGTTAATTTTTGAAAATTACATGATATTTTTGTGTGATAGGAAGAATGGAGCAAGTTGTGCCTATTTCCTTAAGTCAGATAAGGTTTCTAAAATAAATGAATTTCTAGCATGTAAAGGGTAGAGATAAACCCTGCAAATCTTATGTCTGGAATTATATTAATGTTTGTCCTTGCCAAAATTCCTAGAAATTAATTTCCTTCAATAGCATCCTAATATTCTATTTTTATTTGGGGCAGAGTAATTTCATTTATGTTGCCTGTAGGTGTACCATGTGTTCACTTGAACAAAGAACAAATGGCTAAGATGGAGTAATGACTAAAGTATGTTCTCATATTATGATGCGGAAATAATTGATAACTTTTAAGCCATACTACCATTTTAAAGACAATTTGCACAAATACATTTGTATCTGTTTTGTCCAATATAGATTTGGCAATTATTTAAAGAGGGATAATCTTGAAAAAAATTAATCAAGGTGATTTCTTATATGTAGATGCTTGATTTTGGAATTTGAAATAGTAGATGTACCTCTTTAACCTTTTTTACTTGGATAAAAACCTATGATGATTTTGTCCTGTGTGTAAATGTTATTTATTTAGCATAGACATTAAAGATAACTCTCTGGAAAATTACTTGACTAAGGCTGTCATGAAATTCAAAGTGCGATTTAGAACATGCACCAAATTGTCAAGCAAATCTGTCTAAATGTATATTTTAAATTATTACAAATTACACATCTTTGAGGAAGGAGTATTATGAACAATAGAACATATTCTCTAGGTTGTAGAGGAAGGAATAAGCAGACAGAATCAACCACTAAAGATAGTTTTTCAGATCAGTTGTTAGAATGTCATGTTTAGATGTTGGAGCAGATTAGAGCAGCATTCATGCCACTCAGAGGAACCAGATTTACAGCATAAGTATGGACGAGGAATTTCAGATCATTGGATGTTTGCTTGGCTAGGTTCTACTTTGTTTATTTGATATCAAATAGGTTTGTAGATGTTTATGGTATTTCTAATTGTAAGTAGAGACAAAATATTCATATACTCAGATATATATTGTCTGCTTTAAACAATTTTTAAATTTTAAAAATGTATTAATGTCTTTTTATATCCATTAAGGGAAGGATGAAATGTTGAATTTGAAGGCTAATTCAGTAAGAAGTCCTAGGGGTTTAACTATATACTACCTGAACTGGCTTTTCTGAGAGATGAATCAATAATGAAAAATGTCTGTTTAAAAAATAAAACTGCCACATGTGACTACTATTTTTGTTAGCTGAAAGCTGCAATACAAAGTATTACAGGAATATGAAGGTGAATAGCTTGAAGATATGGGAACTAGAGAGTCAGAAAAGTTTTGTTTTAGACTTGATTTAATGTGTTTTTATTTTTTCTTACACAAAATAGAGATAATGTTGCTAACTTCATGGGATATTTGAAGAAATGATATAAATACACTTTACAAAGTTAAAAGTGTCTGGACATGTGCAGTAACTGCATGGGTTCTTTTCTGTGTCTTAGTAATGTAAATAAAGATCTAATATTAATTTGGTTATCTAATAAGCAACAAACAACTTAATACATAGAACTTAATAGACTGTTCAACCACATTTTATAATATGATCACTAAGAACTTAATGTAGGATTTTAATAATCATGTCTTTTTAATTGTGGCAGAATTTAAACCTTAATTTTGTGATCTGTTTTTTTTGTTTGTTTTGTTGAGTTTTTTGTTGAGACGGAGTCTCGTTGTGTTGCCCAGGGTGGAGTGCAGTGGCACAATCTCCGCTCACTGCAACCTCCCTCCCCCGGGTTCAAGCGATTCTTCTGCCTCAGCCTCCAGAGTAGTTGGGATTACAGGCACGCATCACCACACCCGGCTAATTTTTGTGTTTTTAGTAGAGACAGGGTTTCGCCACATTCGCCAGGCTGATCTCGAACTCCTG